GACAATTTGATCATGCGTGAAATCTTTAACCTCCCCCCCATACCCATCATCTCCCCCCCCCCCCCTTCCTTGCCCCGATCCTTCTATCCCTCTCATGCCCTATTCGCACCCTCTTCCTGTCCCCTCGCTTTTTCCTTTCTCTCTACTTCCACGGTAGTTTCTCCCTCTTCTACTCGTTTCCCTTGCTTGTTCAACCTGTTATTTCTATCCCTATCCTCTCCTGCCTCCATCCTATCCCTCTCCTTCTCCCACCCTACCCCTCTCCTAGCCAGCATCCTGCCGAAATCCACAGGGCGAGTCGAGCGCAGGCGGACCACTTCCCTCTGCTAGCCTCATTTTTACGCTTTTTTTATTATTATTCTTTTATTATGCTGGCTCTTTTTACATGCATTTTACGTTTATTTACACCTTTTTGTACATTTTAAAATAAAAACTTTGTTGAGATCCTTTCGTTATCCACATATTTTCACGAGGCTTCACGTGATGTGCGGATAACAGGGCATCCACATCTGCTGCGAGGGAATCTTTCTTTTACCTTTTTTATCTCTAGTATTTTAAGCTCAGTTTTATTTTTAATGGTTTCTTTTTACATATTCATCCTTTCCTTCTCTCTTTTACAGCGAGAGAAAACAACTTATTTTAAGATTTTTATTTATGAATCGCAGCAGATTTTTAAAGTTTTTTTAAATTATAATTATAATTTTTAAAATGATTTCTCTTAACGTTTTATTGCTTTTGTTATTGGTTTTATCTTATATATATTTTCTTTTATTATAACATTTCCTATTTATTGTTTTACTTTATTTATGTACTACACTTTCGTCCGCGTAAGTCAATTTAACCCGTGTTTTTACCAAATAAACGAAGCGGATGCTCTCACTGTTCTGTGACTTTACCCTCTGGATTTACCTTTCTGGATTTACACCGTGGAAGCCGAAACAAGGGCGCGCTGTCCCTTTCTACTTGCCAAAGTATATCTATGCTGGACGTGTTTTATTTTTTTTATTTTTTTACATTACGTTTTACTGTGAACCATGTTTTCTCCTTTGACTTTTACTTTTTATTTACTCTGAATTTTACTTACATTTATCTTGTGCTTTTACTCGTCTTTTATTCCAGCTTTTTAAGACTTTTCTTTCTATTTTTAGAATCTTTTATTTTCTCCTCGTTTCACCTTTTACTTCTAAAAGAAGTAAAAGCTGTTAGTTTTTCTTACTTTTTTTAAACCTTCATGCATACTTTGTCATTCTGAAGCCCTTCTGGCGTATTTTTAAGTCATTCTTAAGCCCTTCTGGCAGTTATTTCTGTTTTCGTATTGACTTCAGTTGTACTTTGGTGCCTTCTGCACATCATTTTTGTTCATTCAGGATTTTGCATTTTATTTATCATGTATCTTCGTATTGGTCACGCTCCTGGTAGGCCTGCATCTCCGAGGATAGTTGGCTTCGAAAGAAGATGTCTCTCCCATGATAAGCTTATTTTCTTTCTCTGGTCTGACCCATGGTTCTCCCATAGTCATTGCCCAACGAGGCCGACATGGCTAAAAACTTGCTAAGAAAATATAATCATAAAAATAAAATAAAAGTGAGCCACCCGGAGCTCATTCTGCCGGGTACTGCCTTCAACAAGCATGCCTAATTGGCTATTGACCAACAGAAAAGTGATGATTATTTAGTGGTTGTCTATGGTTTGCGTATCGTGGGCTTATTGTCAAAAGGTGATTTACTGTAAGGCTGGCGGTGCATTGAGGGCACTGTGGAAGGAAGGTTCTCTCTATATAGGGAGTGAGGAAGGCATTGACCTTGAGGTGGCCCATGACCACCTCCTCCCTTCTTACTTTACTGTAGGGTGTATTCCACAGTTCTATTTCTTTAATCTTATTGTGTATTTGTAGGTTGGCCACTTTGTTACAGGAGATGGATTTTTGCTTTTACAAGAGACCCAAAACACCTGAGATCTGTACGGACTATGCCAAGGTCCAGATCACCAGTTGACCCAGATAATTTCTCAGCCTGCCCATTGCCATAGATACCAGAGTGGCTCGGAACCCACATTAGCTTGATTGATTTGTTGGCACTATGTAGCTTATGGATGATGTTACCCAGCAGTGAATTTTTGGTGGTTTATAATGATTTAGTGGCTTTAAGACTATTCCATGGCTCGTCGACAGTGCAAAATCTAAAGCATTATTAATTGCAAAAAGTTCAGCAATAAAAATCGATGTATGATTCGTAGTCTAAACTTCACATTCAGCCGACCATACACCCACTCCCACACACTCATGGCTTTGAGCCGTCGGTGTATATATATATAGATAGATAGATAGATAGATAGATAGATTTAGATGTAAATAGATAGATAGATAGATAGATAAATTAGACCTAAGTCCAAATGTGGTTTGCCTGTTTACTAGCCCTAGCTGTCAGGCTAAGGACGTGACATCAACCTCACGATGGCTTCGTCCCGCGTCGTGATTGTTTCCCCACAAACGGGATGATCGAAGAAAACGCCAGGAGAAGGCACTATCGACCTACCCCAAGGAGCATTAGAGTTGCCTCCTCCATGCGAAAGCAAGTTTATACATACCCCCTAGAAGCCTGTTGCACCACAATATCAAGTTAATATGGGTACTGTAGGAGGTTGATGCCACGTCCCTAGCCTGGCAGCCAGGGCTAGTAAACAGGCAAACCACATTCGAACTCAGTTCCGAGTTTTACTTAAGTATTGTAAAATACAAACCGAAAACAGATCAGAGCATTGTATGATAATTCTGTTTAATGATATTCTTAGATCAAAGCTAAGGCTGTCCATATTTACAGGTTTTGGGTAGAATTTTTGACACACAAAATTGCTTAGGGCTTTAAAAAATAGGTAAGATGGGTACCCATTTGAAGTGAAATATTCCTGTAAGAATGAGTTTCTTCATGAAAATTAGTCCAAGTTGAACAAAAGTTATAAGCCCAGTTGATAAGTGTTGCAAGGCTGTTTAACTTGTAAATATGAGGAATATGGTCGAGATAATGAAGTCCAAGGCCAGTGAATGTGCGTTTCCTGTAGGAATTGGCGAAGAAGCGGTTATTACGGAAACTGATGCAAGTATCAAGAAATTATAGTAATTTTGTTATATTTGTACGATAGGAAAGGGTTAATGTGAGAATGGTCGTTAAAGAATAAGGATGTATCATCCACGTAACGACGATATAAAATAGGTTTGAAATTCGCAGGGCAATTATTCATTCATGGTGGCAACGGACCAAGAGGCGATTCCGTCTATTTGCGTGTAAAAGATTCACTGAAGGTAGGCACTGAACTGTGAGCAGTTATATCGAATAGTTTTCTTTAAGCTGTCTTGTTCAGACCATACGAGTTTAAGGGTGAAGAGGCAGTTTTATTTACAATTATGTCAGTGGTTTCATTGAGAAGAATATTAGTAAATAGCTCAATGTCAAAAATGGCCACCGTGACGGGCCGTGGTGGTTTAAGGGCACTGATTTCTTTAATAAAAGAGAAAGAGTTTTCTGTGGGATATTCATCCATAGTTCATGGGGTAATGATCTTAACCAAGAATTTTGCAGCACTGTAATTGAAAATTCCAATAGCAGAAATGATATGGGGTAGTACACACATACGTGCGCGCGCGCGCGACTATAAATATCATATATATATGTATATATATATAAGTCATATATATGTATATATATATATATATATATATATATATATATATATATAACATAACGTATATATATATATATATATATATATATATATATATATATATATATATATATACATACATATAAATGTATATATGGCATATATTCACACACACACACACACACACACACACACACACACACACACACACACACACACACACACACACACACACACACACACACACATATGTACATACACATATGTGCACGCGCGCGCGCGTGAGTGCGTATATATTATATAGATATGTATATATACATATATAATGCATAATATATACATATATATATATATATATATATATATATATATATATATATATATACATATATTTATATATATACATATATAAATAATATATACGTATATGTATACATATATATATATATATATATATATATATATATATATATATATATATATATATATATATATATATGTATATATAGCATATATGCAGACACACAGACGCACACATACACACACACATTTATTTATTTACTTTTACACATAAACACACACACACACACACACACACACACACACACACACACACACACACACACACATATATATATATATATATATATATATATATATATATGTATATATAGCATATATGCAGACACACAGACGCACACATACACACACACATTTATTTATTTACTTTTACACATAAACACACACACACACACACACACACACACACACACACACACACACACACACACACACACACACATATATATATAAATATATATATATATATATATATATATATATATATATATATATATATACATAAATATGTATATCTATACATATATATATATATATATATATATATATATATATATATATATATATATATATATATATATATATATATATACATATATATATCTATATACATATATATATCTATATACATATATATATCTATATACATATATATATATCTATCTATCTATCTATCTATCTAACTATCTATCTATCTATCTATCTATCTATCTATCTATCTATCTATATATATATATATATATAAATTTTTTACACATATTTATACACATATACATACACCTCTCTCTCTCTCTCTCTCTCTCTCTCTCTCTCTCTCTCTCTCTCTCTCTCTCTCTCTCTCTCTCTCTCCCCGTGCGCTCTTTCCTCCCCCCTCCTTTTCCTCAACCCTACCCATATCTTACCCCCCCCCCCCTCCCTCCTGCCTTGAACGACCCAATATCCGTCCATTGTCGTGGTCTGCCAGCGCCTTCCGGGCCTCCCTGATGACTCCGCCAGCCCCGTCGCCTCAAGAAACTGTGGCTCTCCGCTGGCACCCCTCCTCTGGCACCCCTCCGCTGGCACCCCTCCTCTGGCACCCCTCCTCTGTCATCCCTCCGCTGGCTCCTCTCCGCTGGCACCCCTCCTCTGGCACCCCTCCACTGTCATCCCTCCGCTGGCTCCTCTCCGCTGGCACCCCACCTCTGGCATCCCTCCTCTGGCACCCCTCCACTGTCATCCCTCCGCTGGCACCCCACCTCTGGCACCCCTCCGCTGGCACCCCTCCTCTGGCACCCCTCCGCTGGCTCCTCTCCGCTGGCACCCCTCTTCTGGCACCCCTCCGCTGT